CCAGCAACTGCACTGGGTTACATGGAGGTTCATATAGACAGATGAAAATGAATCATAATCCTCTAGGACATCATTTTTCCAAAATAAGAAGTGCCTGATTGGATAAATTATCACAGTTCAGCTGATGTAAATATCTAGCTAATACTCATTTGCTCATTTAATGAAATCCAGAAACAATTTCCAGTCTCATAATGAGCCTGGATTCCAAGCTGGTTGGATCACAAGACCAGAGAACAGACAACACATCACCAGTACATTTAAATGAAAGTGCAGGCTCATAAGACATGATTATTACTGGTATTTAATGCAGAGGTGCCGACTTCATGAGGATCGTGGTCTGAATGCCTGAACTTAGTAAATCTCCCAAAACAGGATTTTTTCCTCTCCAAACCCTGCCTGGGAAGTTTTCACTGTAGCCATGAAGTGACCAGAGGAGCGGTGTTGGCTGCAGCAGCGCAGCACGAGCTGCAGTTTGCAGCGTCGCAGGAGCACCAGCAGCCGCGGTACCAGCAGCGCCGCGAGCGCGGCGGCGGCGATCCCCGCGATCCCCCGGCCAAGGGAGACGCTCCAGAGGATGCGGCGCCCTTGCAGGGCTCACGCCGTGAAGGGCGGTGGAGGACGCAGCCGCGCAGAGCGGAGCGGGGCAGGCAGGCGAGCCCGGGCTGGGGGCTGGTACCGGAGCAGAGGCTGCTCTGCCGAGGGCTCTCGGAGCTGCTGGATGATCATCCCGGTGAGCCGGGAGGAGAGGGAGAGCTGCTCCAAGGCAGGGACTGGCTTCCTACGGGCAGAGCTGGGCTAGCGCTGGAGCTCAGAGCAGAGCCCGGGGAGCGAGCGCTGCGTCTGGCACAGGAGAGGCTGAGCCCCAAACAGGCTGCAAGTGCCAAAGCCTTTTCCAGCTTTGGACCTCAGCAAAGCTGCCTTCAGCTGCGAGTGCAGAGGGGCCAAGGAGGTGCCAATGGGATTCCTGTTTGGAGAAGCACCACAGAGCCTGGCTCTTCTTCCTCTGAGTTTTACAAACCACGGGATTGTTTCCACATTACCTAGTCCTGATTTCTGCCAGACGATAGCCGGGCCCTTCCCGCACTAGCACAGCAGCATCCAAGGATCAGGGCAGCAGAACCATGAGCTTCCCAAGAGATCCTTCCTGGGGCTGAGCAGGAAGGGGAGGCTCCGGGTCGGGGTTCGGGGCGTCGGCGCCCCCCCCTGCCGCAGGAGCTGCAGCCCCCAGGGCCCGGCTGTGCCCTGGCCTGGCGGCCCCGGCTCCGTGCGGCGTTCCCTGCTCCGGGCCAGCAGCACCTGCTTCACCCATTAAACGTTTGCCCTGGGCAACCGAGTTCACCCAATAAAACGTTCGCCCTGGGCAACCGAGTACCGTCAAGGCTGCACTTTGTCCCCAGCAGTGTGACCTGCCGGGCCCCGCGCACCGTCCTGGCCCTGCCTCGGAGCCGCTTCCTGCCTTCCTGAGCGCGGAGCGCGGCAGGAGGCGGCGCCGGCAGCGCGGACAGGATTTCCTGGGCAAATCCAACCTGCAGCAGGGCAGGGAGCCGAGCAGCGAGGGGCTCTGCAAACGCTGCGGTGGGAGCACCCGCATCCCGCCCGGCCCCCGCGGTCCCGTCTGCCGCGTGGGGCAGCGGCGACGGAGTCAGCAGCGCTTTATCTCCCCGTGCCTCGGGATGCGCCGTCCTGCCTTGTGCGAAGGGCAGGATCCAAATGTGTATAAGTGAAAAATAAGAGCTGTAGAATAATAGCTGCTTCCTTCCGGCAGCGCCTCCCTGCAGGCTGCGGGCACCGGCCCCGGCTGCGCCCG